GCACGGACTCATGAGAAGAGGGAGTCACCGCCAGTCTCACCAGTCCTCAGTCCCCACACTTGTCCCGCTGCGGCTGCCCAGGACCCCAGAGGAGGAAGCATGCGGGGCGTGGCCAGCATGTGGGTTCAACTCTAACCAGCAGTCAGCTAAGGGAATGTCGCACCGAGCCCGACCTGCGCCAGGACGCCAACAAGCCAACATGGGCCCCTGGGTGTCAGTAAAGAGCTCAGTAAGGAGGTAAGAGCCACCCGGGGTCGCCGACTCCGGCCTGGAAAGGCATCGGGAGGACTACGGCGTCTGAGCTGGGCACAACAAGCTGAAAAGTGGGGAGACAAAAATCAGAGGTACGAGCATGCCGGGCGGAAGCCATCGTTTGAGCGTAGGTGGGAAAACGGGAAAACGAAGCATGGAGTGTGGGCTGTGGCCTGGATTAGAGCAGGAAGGTCTGGGGAGAAACTTGGAAAAGAAGGGCCTCGCAGAAGGCAGGGAAAGCCACGCCAAGGAGCCCCCGGGAGGTGCTCCGCGCAGAACCCCGAAGGCCATGGCCGAGCCGTGTGTGCAGACTGTTCCGGAAACCTAACTGTGTGGGAGCCGCTGAGGACACACATCAAACTCAGCGAATGAACAAACGTCAAGCCCCTTCCTCTCGGCCCAAATGAAAATACAGGAAGCATTCTGGACTCATTTTGGACCACCACCCACAGCCCTCACTCACCTCACGCTAGGCAACCCACGTAAAAAATGCTCAGGCGTTCTCTGGTAAGCTACCCTACTCGACTTTCCACAGAGATCTCTTTTCTGGGGGACAGACAAAAATGCAACTGTGCCCTTTTATGTTGCAATGTCCAGTGAGGAAAGGAGTAGATTTATGTTCCCAAGCCCAAAATGATTCAGGCCGTGAGCTTCTCGGTATCCTGACGCGGGAGAGTTTCTTCCAACTAAAAATAGATGTAATTTTCAGCGTCATGCGAGTCGAGGCAGGTCCTCAGTGGATTAATCCTTCCGAGTGAGAGGTCAGCCGTGGTGAGGCCGTGGGGAAAGGGGCCAACACACAGGCTGTCTGCCAGACTGCGGGCTGGGCCTACCTCTGCGGAGGGCGACCTGGCCCCACTGATCAGATCTGCTCATGTGCTCGCCCTCCTACCAGAAATTCCACTTCTGGGAATTCACTTTACGCCAGCCCCGCCCCCCGTGTGTGCCGTCCTTATTTATTTATAGGCTCATCACACACAACGAATACTGCGTTTGAGTGCTTTGTGCATCACCGTGGGACATGGCGAAAAAACTGGTAACTACCTCCCCAGTTCGTCAACAGAGGGCTAGTTACATACAGAACGGTTGACCCATATTACACGATTCATGCAGCAGTGGAGAATGAGGCAGATCTCACAGGTAATGAAACAGAAAGATGTATCACTAAACGACACACGCACGGGTGCGTCTCAGGGGGCTGGGGACAGCGCCCGTGGATTTTAAGGACAGCAGGACAGAACAAAACCAGTCACGGTGGCTCCATTTCTGGGGAGTGGATCAGCTTGGTGCGGAGCAGAGAGGAAGAAGACACAAGCTCTGTACTCTCCAATTTCTCTAACTTTTCTTACTTCTCTGAATTTTTTAAAGACCCACATATTACTTTTGTGATTTTTTGCGGGGGGTGACATCTGGAGAAGTAAGCTCAAACCGATGAGCCGGGCATCTGAGAAATCCGAGTTCTCCAACCCACCAGGGGCTGAGGGCCGTGTCCCAGCCACCCCGCCCTCACCGCGGCATCAGGCTCAGGAGGCCAGAGACCGTGTCTGCCTCATGACATCCCCCTCGCCTGTCCCTGGGCTAAGCACACAACAGGCACTCAGTAAAGGCTGGACGAACGAATGAATGAGGGGCAGGAAAGTCTACTCCATTCATCTGTGCTCAGAGCACCGGCATGGCTTTGAGTGCCCATCCCCCACCCCATCGTCACCTACAACGGGCCACAGGTGAGCGGCTCAGCCTGGGAGTCACGGCCTGGTTCTCCAGCCTGACATCCCCTAACTCTGTGATTCCTCACCTTCCTCCGCCATGGCAAGGTGGGGCTGTCCTGGGTTGGCCTAAGGCACCTTCCAGCTCTGAGAGGCTGAAGAACAGGGGCGCCTGGGTGGCTCAGCGGGTTAAGCGTCCGACTTCGGCTCAGGTCACGATCTCACGGTCCGTGAGTTCGAGCCCCGCGTCGGGCTCTGTGCTGACAGCTCGGAGCCCGGAGCCTGCTTGGGATTCTACGTCTCCCTCTCTCTCTGCCTCTTCCCTGTTTGTGCTCAGTCTCTCTCTCTCTCTCTCTCTCTCTCTCTGTCTCTCCCTCAAAAATAAATAAACGTTAAGAAAAATCTTTTTTAAGAGGCTGGAGAACAGAAAGCCTTGGAGGGAGAGGTTTCACTGATGCGGGAGACTCTCGTCCACAGAAAGATGGAGAAAGCGACGAGCCGTGTGGGGAGGGAGAGACCCTGACGGGCCCTGACCCTGGAGACAGACCGGAGCAGACCGGGGCGGCTGTACCTCCTGTTAGCGGCCGGGGGCCTGTGGATAAACCACTTCAACCCTCCGAGTTTCTCTCTCGGTGAATTAATGCTATCAATTCTTACAGTAACTCTGAAAGGCTAGTAAGTGAAGCGACGCGTGCCGGACACAGGACGGCAGGTCGTCCCCCCCCAACGCTATCACCCTCCTTCCGCCAACGATTTTTGAGCCTCCTATCACTTCCCTTCTCGTCTCTGGGTACCGAACTCACACTTGGGAGCCGGCGGGATTGGGACTCACTTGTGTACTCAGAGTCCTCCACCCGCACCCCCGCCCGGACCCTGCCGCCTGAGCCGCCCGCACCCCTCTTCACAGTCACCCTCACAGTCATGGCCCGTGCCATGATGTGATGGGGGCGAGGGCCCGGTACTTACTGGCTCACTTTATGGTACAGCTTAGCAATGCCCTGGTGGGTCCAATCCTTCCCGAGGGTGGGCAGAATGTGGCCAAGAGTATCTGACCTAAACAGAGAAACGAGAAAAAGAAAATAAAAAGGGCGTGCCGAAAGGGGGGGGGGGGGAAGCCCATTCCAGCTCACTGTACCAGAAATACCTCACGAGGGGCGCCAACAGGACCCGTGACTTACTTTCCGGATAGAAAAGCCCAAAACGAAAGAAATCATATGAGGACGCTCACGGAGGGATACGTTAACACACGAAAGGGCACTTTCCAACTATCACGCCTCAAGTCCGTGACTCGCTAAGTCAAAGCAAAAAGGCCGTTCGGAAAGTCGCGCTTCGGAAGCATCCGCAAGAACATCAAAACCAGGGAGGCGGGAGCCCCGATGGAGACAAGCACCGAGCCGGGACTGCGGCTGTTTATGGCGAGGGGCGAAGACCCCAGGACCACGCCGGGAACCGAACCGTACGGGCCCCACACGGTGCCACAGACCGCGAGCAGAAATGCCGGCTGCAGGCCCCAGGGCCCCGACACAGCCGGACCCACCTGGTGATGGTCCCGTCGATGTCCGAAATGATGACTTTGTCGTCCCAGTCCCACAGGTAGATGGTGCCCTCGCAGCGGCACGTGCCTTGGTACTGTGTGGTCACGCTAAAGACCACGTCGTTGGGGCCGTTCTTCAACTTCAAGCTTTTCTGAAAAACATGAGCCGCGGGGCCGCTTGAGGGGAAAGCCCAGACTGAGGGCTATTTGGCCCCTCTTCCAGGAGGGGCGACGTCGGGATGGCTTTTCGAGCTCTCTGCCCTAGGCCACCGTACAACTCCTCCTTTCGCTGTCCCGCTCTCCGTGGGGACAGTTCCTCCCGGGGTCCGGCCATCCCGAACCCCAGGCCCACCTGAAAGGCAGCTCACCCACTCTCTGCAGGGGGCGGGGGGTGACGGGCAGGAAGCCTTGCCCTCATCGTTCCAACTTCAGAATAGGACCCACTCGCTACTCCGCGACTAAATATGAAAGGGGACACGAAGCCAAGTGGGGAAACGTTTCCCGGAATAACCGCAGATCCCAGGACTTCACAGCAGGCTCAGAAAGCACGGTTACCTTTTGGCGGTTTTGATCTCAGTGCTGGGACCCTCAGGGTCCCCCCGGCATCGCTGGCCCGAGCCCGGTGCCACACCACTGCACAAGAGACTGCCAGGCAAGCTGGTGGCATTGAGCGGGAGTCTGGGCCTGCTATTTCCCATGAAGCACCACGCCCGGCCCCCCGCTAACTCTCGGGACAGAAGCGAAAGAGTGGGGACACTGGCTCGCTGGCTGTTCATGGCAAACAAGGGGCAGGGAAGGAAGGGTCCGGTGAAACCCGAAGATGACACTGTGACCGTGACGGCCCCCTGCCACCGGAAGCTCTCGAGAACACCCCCCGGCCCTCACAACTGCTTGATCTCCCCCAGGTTAGGAGACGCACAGCTGCCGCAAAGTGGGAAGAGCCTGGGAGAGTCGAGTCTATCAGTCACTGAAACCTGAGGATAAGTGGGCTTTGTCGGGCTTCCCTCCTCCGACGCTTGGCAACAGGAGCCGCAGGGGCACCCAGACGCCGAAGTCAGCCGCTGAGTCTGGGAGGCCACGCCTCGGCCGGGGCGCACGAACACGAGGGAAGGACACACTCACCAGCTGCTCCGAAGTGAGCCGGAGGGTCTTCTTGTAGCTGACGCTGGACAACAGGGGGAGGTGGCCCGCACTTGGGGGCTTGGAAGCTGCGTGTTCGTCATCACTGGAGGATGACTCATGCTTTATCCTGGAACACACAGTGACGTAACCACCACTTAGGACATGCATCTGGGCAGCCGTGAAAAATGCATTAGGCCAGAATCAATGGCTGAGTCGATCGGGTCTCTCCCCAGGGCCGTCTCTCGGGGGGTCATTTGCCATATGCCATGACATTTCTCCGTGAAGGCCCGCTAACTCCCATTCATACACCTCCTGCATTATTCATCCGGGGCTGCCTCTCCTCGTTCACGTCCCTACTCACTCGCTATCATCACTCCACTTTCCACCAAGACGCTCCTCTTCCCGATAAACAGGGTTAAGCTCCCTCCTTGCCGAGGGAAACATTCTCTTCTGCTCCCCGAGGCTGCTGGCCAAGCATGAGAACTCTGAATTTCCACACACCCTGACGGATCAGTTCCGTGTTCACACCTCTCCAAACACACGTTTCTTTTCTTTTTCAGTGTTTATTTATTTTTGAGAGAGAGAGAGAGAGAGAGAGAGTATGAGCGGGGGAGAGGCAGAGAGAGAGGGAGACACAGAGTCCGAAGCAGGATCCAGGCTCTGAGCGATCACCACAGAGCCCAATGCAGGGCTTGAACTCACGGACCGTGAGATCATGAGCTGAGCCGAAGTCAGACGCTCAACCGACTGAGCCACCCAGGCGCCCCACCAAACACACATTCCCAAATAACCCAGCAGGTGCCCGTGAAGACAGGGAAGACATCAGTCCTTCTCCAGAACGCCCCGAGCCGGCTGTCCTACACACCTCGTCTGCCTGCGCAGAACCCACAGGCCAATGCTCCTGACTCTTCCAGACTTCTCCATCTGGTGAAGGGCTGGGAGGTGCGGGTGGGAAGCAGGCTCATTTTCTTTAAACAGCTCATATAAAGCCTATCTGTAATTACTTGTTCCCTGGACTAAAATCCCGCTATGGCATAATCCCCAACCCAGCGGCTTCCCGCTGCTTCCTGCATCCGGGGACCATTATCTCCAAAAACGTCCTAACACCGTACGAAGTTAACAAATGTTGGTTAAGGCTAAGCGGAAAAGGCTGAGTGGCCCCAAGCAGGCAGGCCCCAGCCTCATGCCTGCCTCCAGAGCTTCCTGCTCGGGACATCCCTTTATGCAAGACTGATACGCTTGGGAACAAGACTCATACACTTGGGAATTCCGTCTTCTCTTTTTATCTCCAAGGGCTCGGACCTCGCTAATGCCCCCTTGTCCTCTGGCCTCCCACTCTCCCCGCCTCCCCTCCCACTCCTGTGTGGCCTGTTGCTTTTCCCACCCCGTGCATCCCAGAGCAGCGCCTACAATCCACGGCTGCCCCAAACTAGGGAGACCTGAGGGAGGTCACCGGACACAGCTGTTCTGTTACTTCTTCTGTTACTTCCGCTACCTCTTCATGGGGAGGAGCTTCCTTCCACAGCTAGAATGAGCTGCGCTTCCGTGAGCTCCTGACGCCCTGGCCCCACGAGAGGGAGCCTGAGGGCTTCGGGGCTGGTGGGCTGGAGCTCATCCAACCAGTGCTTGCGAGCACTGCCGCTTCGGCAAACAGCCTGGCCCCCGCACTCCCGGGGCTTTCTGTCTCAACAATCACAACACAGCGTGGTAAGTGCTATGATCGGAAAGCAGACTTGGCCATCTCCAGGACACCGGGACCGTGGGGAATAAGCCACGGGAACGGGCCACTGGGTCCACAAAGGACGACAAAAGCGTGGGGGCGCCTGGGTGGCTCAGTCGGTTGGGCGTCCGACTTTGGCTCAGGTCATGATCTCACAGTCCGTGGGTTCGAGCCCCGCGTCAGGCTCTGCACGGACAGCTCAGAGCCCAGAGCCTGGTTTGAATTCTGTGTCTCCCTCTCTCTCTGCTCCTCCTCCCCTGCTTGCTCTCTCTCTCTCTCTCTCTCTCTCTCTCTCTCTCAAAAGTAAATAAACATTTAAAAAAAATTTTAGAAGGACAGAGCATGGAGGCTAGACTCCAGGCTAGTCCGCGGCAGGGCTGGGCTACATGCAGATGAATCTAACCAAGTGACATCTGTGGCCGGTTTCTAGATAAAGTGCAGACGGCACTGGGGTTAGAACCTGAGAAGTCTGTGTTGGAAGTCCACGGGAATCAGGCCGTTTGCACAAATCGCTTCGTTTTCTTTCAGTCCTGATGTCCTCATCACCACATATAGAGGAACAAACAGCATCCCCCCCCCTCCACCACCACCAAAACACTCAGGATGCAGGCAGATGACAGACAGACAGAAACGGCCCAGGAGACACGAGCCCCGATGAGGCCTCACAACTGGAGAATCCCCTCTCTGGGCCCCTGGCTCGTCTGTAAAGTGACATGTTCTGACAACAGCCCTTTCCGGTCCCGGCCCCCGTGGGTCCCGTGAACAACGCTGGTTCTTCTGAACCACCGGCCCGCAGATTTCCAGGTGGGTCGGGCACAGTCCCGGAGCACCCAGCTGGCAACCCAGAAAGAGACGAGCTGCAGGCCCCTCGCTGAATCGGAGACTGTCTACGCTCCAACCCAGCCGCGTGGAGAGAAATGAGATCCAGATGCGAAGCAAAGCTCGCACGACACCAGGCTGATGTGCGCCTCTGCCCGTGGGGTGTGGAAACACGAACGAGGCGGAATCACCGTTCGTTTCCACGTGCTGCTTTGCGACCAAACAGCAAAAAACCCACTAAATCCGTGCGGCTGGCCGTGCTGGAGGGAAAACAGACACAGACTCTGGAACGCAGCTACACGGTTGGCTGCCGGTAGAGGGGCCGGGGGTGAGGACGCCACCCCGCGCAACGGGGGTCCCGCCAGAGTCCGCTGGGGCTCACGAGGGCCCGGGAGCAGGGCCGCTTCCCAGCGCCGGCCAGAAGCGACGCCACAAAAGGGCTCAGCCCGCTGGAGAGTCTGTGTTCGCGGAGCAGCTGTGAACAACACCCGGGTTAGCGCCCGTCGCCGCGTACATTCTGCAAGCGGAAGTTCCGCGACTCGCATGGTGACAAGCAGCTCGCTCAATGAGGCGGCTTCGGGGCCTGTTCTGTCAATCAAGTCTGTCGATTAAGGCAAGGCGCCAACGCCTTCTCTGAGTCAACGGCACGAATCGAGCGGGGAGGCCGAAGGCCTAAGAACGCCGGCCAAAATTAAGACGTTTCCCTTTCTCGAACGAACTTTCAAACCCCCGATCCCTTCTCGCAGGAGTCAGCGCTTCGTTTTTCAGGGTTAATAAACGAGCGTAGCGTGATGAACTCAGAGCGCTGCGGGCTCTTAAATGGGTTCTGTTTGGCCGCGAACAGCATTTTCGGCAACGTCCAAAGAGGACGGTGTCAGACGGTGAGAAAACCTGCAACGATTCTGAGAAACCGTGCCAGCTGAGGCTCCGGCTGAGCGGGCAGGAGCCACCCTAGGGTCACGCTGCTCATCGCCCTTGGTCCCCCTCGGCCCCCTGAGCCCCCACCGGCCCCCTGCGCCCCCCTCGGGCCCCCATGGCCCCCTGCGCCCCACCAGCTCCCTCCCCGGTCCTCCACGCGGCCCCTGGGAAGCGGAGAGGAACAGTATCAGAGCTGCTGCATGCCACACTGCCCGCGGTCGTCACGCTCTGCGCCTCGGACCCTCTGGCCGGGCCCACCCCAGAGCCACCCCCCAACTGTCCTGCTACAGCTGCACCCCCCGCCCCCAGCCGTGCGGCCCTGTGGGGTTTGCGTTCTGAACCTCCTTCCTCATGGAGGGAACCGCACGAGCCGATGTATGTGGGGTTGGCATCATTCTCCCCATTTCACAGACGGAAAGGAGACACCGCGGGGCTGACGATTCACCAAATCGCACGGCAGGCCGACACAGCCTCGGCTCTCCGTCCTGCTCACGCTGCCTCTCGTGTTCGGAAACCATGGCTAGGACAGAGAAGGTTCTTCGAAAGAACGGGAGAGCAGGAAGTTTCTGGTGGAGCTAAATCACTGGTTTAAATGCTCAAGGCAGGAGAGCCAGCGCTCCGTCTGGGTCCCCTGTCACCATGCTGCCTCCCGGGCTGCCTCCCCCGCTGCTCTGGACACGACACCTGCCCCTTTGCTCGGATATGGAGACCAGTTTGCCCAAAGCCAGGACCCCAAACCAGGCCTGCCCGACTCCAGGTCTGCCGTTCGCAGCCCGCGGCTGGCCACTCGCAGGCGTAAACAACGACCCGCTGAAAGTCCACCGGCTTCTATCCCTTCAGAGGCCAGCACGTTCTCGGCCTGCGCTGCACCTTGAGCACACCTGCCTTCTCCTTTCCGGGGAGTTTTTCCTACTTCCGCCTATATTTTCTATTTCCAACAGCGAATTCTAGAAACAAAATAGTTTATGATGCAGAGCGACGACCGGGAGGCTGAGAACCTGAGATCTAAGCCTGCCCCTCCTATGAATCAGCAATATATTGGATAAAACTTATCAAGTCAGCAATAGCTCCGCAACATTTATGAAACGCCGGCTGCGTGTCAGGCATCAGCTTAGCCCCCAGGATACAAAAATGATTAAGATCTGCGTCTTGCCTTCCATTAGTTTGTTCGCTTTTTTCTTCCTAATGCAATCCTGAGTTTCTTAAACACGGGATTATTCTAAAGGTAAGGTGACGGGTAAAGGGCGTTACGTTGGCTCATTCGCTATCTACGTACGTTATCGACATCCTAACTGGTGCACGATGGCACTGCCCTCAGATCAGAGTTGCCCCCAAATCCCGTAAGAACAAATTAACCTGACGGCGAACATTCACAGTACGTGTGAGTTGCCAACACGAACCCCTGTCCGTACTTAGGAAAGTATCAGCGAAAGTGCCAGGAAGTATTTAGATGATAGGGAAAAGCAATCTCCTTCTGAAGGAAACTGATCTGCACGTTACTGTTAACGCTGGTGCTGGCCACCATCATCACCACCACTGCTGTTTTCTGCACATCCAGGGCCATCAAACACCGAGACCACAAGAAGGGCTCTAGTTACAGGACGTGCCCAGAGTCTCACGTTCACTTCACAAGGTAGGTATCTAGGGGCACCACTGCCACCATTTGATTCATGGGAAACGCAGTTCATTGTTCCAATTCGCCCACGGCTGCAACCCCGGTCCGCCTGGGTCCCAGGCCTGTATGCTCGGTGAGCCCCAGCAGCCCCCAACGGCCACACGTCATGCCCTTGGACACAGAAAGGGGCCGCAAGGGCCCACGCCAACTCGCCCCGTACCTGGTGGCCATGCCGAGCTGTGACGGCTGCTCCCCGGGGCTGTGGCTCTTGCCAGCCAAGCACTGCTCTGGCTTACTTTCCTGGAGAAGGAGACGAGAAGGAGTCAGGGGAGTACCAGAGAGAAGGGCCGGTGTGCCACGACGGGCTCCCCGGAGCCCAGGGCAGAGCCCCGAATGCCGTCCCCAGTGATACGCGCCCCACGCGTGGCAGGTGCTGATTAGTGCTCTGCTTGGATGCCTTGAGTGAAGCTGAGAAAAACTGTTTGACAGAAATGAGTCTGTTTTCCAGAAGTGCTGGTGGCACCAAACCAAACTTCATAATCGCCGGAGCTTATGCAAATGCTTTATCAAGGGCTGCTTGGATACCCGAATATTTTCAAAATATTTTCTTATAATTGCTGATAGAAATGCTTGAAAATATTTTCACACCACATTTTGCTTGGGAAAATGCTTCTCTCCTTCCCAACACCACACACTCCTCATAGAAAATGCTCCTCCGATGTACCAGAAAGAGCCCTGGGACCCTAAAGAGATCTGGGCTCAGTTCTGTTTCTCTTGCTTGGGAAGCTGAGGCAAGTCATGGAAGCTTCCAGAGCCTTGTCTCCTCACCGGTAAAAGGGGGGGTGATAACATCTACATCCTAACGCTGCCGTGAGGACCACAGAGATGCTGTGCCCACACAGAGCCTGGCCTGCAGCAGGCAAGGGACCAGAAGACAGCCACCAGCCCCCACACACGTCACGGAAGTCATCAGATGGGAGGACCCAGGGCAACGGGTGTCCAATTGAATCCCGCTATTTGCAATCATCTGGTCAGGAGGTAGGTTAGTGGCTTCAGTGTTAATAAGAAAACGAGCAACGTAAACATCAGGGTGACCATCGTAACATCGGATGAGTACGAACTATACCCAAATATCCGTTAGCTCTTTATAAGGTTGATGTGATAACATGCCCGGTAACTTTTAATCTATTTATTGAGGTAACATAGCCACCACTGTCAACAGTCCTTTATTAGACTAGTTCAAAAATACGTTAACTATCTGAAATAAACGTATTTCAGTTTTTTTAAGAAATACTTAATTTCACAACTTCACGATTTCCTTCATGCTGGCACTCCCCTTAATTCAAACTGGTGCCAACGGGAATAATCTACAATAAACAGGCCTTTGAAATAGCAACCAGCCTTCTGCCTAAATTCTAGAACATTCTACCCCCTAGGAAGGGAACTAGAAAGGCCCTTTATGTTTTAAGTCAGCTAAAGTAAAGTATACGTTTGCCCTAATCTGTTCATACCCTTGGAGATAACGGAATAATCACTGCCACTCAGGTATGCTGAAAGAAAATGTTAACAATTTCCTCTTGATAAAACCTTCCATCAGACTTTTTCCCTTTGAACTCATGGAATAAACAAATTGAGATCATCAGGTTTCTGTCAGTATTATAACAACCGACTTGACTACTGTCCTTGGGGTTTCTCTACACTATATACCCTATATCAGCACTCCCTCAAATACTTGCCAAACCCCTGCTCTGAGTCCAAGGTGGGCACCCAGGATACCCAGGGATCAGAGCCAGACAGGGTCTCCGCCTTCATGGAGTTTAGGATTTAGAGGAGAAAGAGATGGTAATAGTCACACGAATATGACTACAAACTCTTGACAAAATTGATGAAGGCAACATTTCACAGGCAGGACTATGAGAGCAGAAGGCAGCAGCCCAGACTAGTCTGCCAAGAAAGGGCTTTTCGAGACACTAGTCAATTAAGGGAAGGGGAGTGAGAGGGGTCCCAGGAACACCAGGCAGTGTAAATGGCATATGCAAAAGTCCTGGGGTAGAGTGTATGTTCAGCCAGTGAAGCTACAGTAGAGAAAGCAGGGGGAGAACGGCAAAGAAAAGTTTAAAGAGGGACGCAGGGGCTAGGATACAAGTGTTGTAAGCCATGTTAAGAATATTGGTCTCAACCATGGAGAGACCTGGGATCCCAGAAGGTTTTCAGCAA